AAGATAAGTTTGTAAAGTTGCTGGTTTGGGAGGGAATGAATGCAGACCACCACACAGCCTGCATGGGGCTGAGGAACGCTCCCTAAGCAGATGGGTAGTGGCCTCCCAGGATGTGGGCAAGCAACAACATCAATCTCCATTGCTGGCCCTGGCCCTACAAGCTCAGACATCTGCAAAGACTGAAGCTATCACTCAGGTTAGTGGCCCAGGGCCAAGGGACTTTGAGGCCCTCAAGGAAGGGGGTCTGTTTTAAATGTGGACAAAAGGGGCACTTTAAGAGGGAGTGCCCACAGCATCCCCCTGCCAGTTGGCCCAGGGGATCAAAGCCACCCTCCACCCCTTGCCCTAGATTCAGGAAGGGTATCATTGGAGAAAGGACAGTAGTTCCAGGTTTGATCTAGAGGGAAAGCCTTTAAACTAGAGATGGGGCATCCTCCAGCCCCATAAACTCAAGGAGGAACCCCCTCCAAAGAAAGGCTAAGAGCACCCCATGCCAGGATGGCCCAGACTCACTGGACTGTCCCTTTAGTGGAGGGACTCTGCCCCAAGATGAGTGTCTTCATAGGCAGAAAGAGGTTTCACATTCTAATTGACATGAGGCAGGCAGAAGAGTGCTTCATGAAGAGGAGGTGCCTCCTGATTGGGAGCTCACAGCCCGTCCCCCAATACTAGGGCTAGGGGGCAACTCTCAATCCAAAGAAATGGTCACCCTCATGAGATGAACTGGTCCAGATAGAGAACAAGGACAAATTCGCCCCCTGGTGGCTAAAAACCTCACAGCCAACTTACTGGTACAGGACTTGCTAGGGCAAATGGATGCTGTGGTCACCACAGACCACTGGGGGTTTTATGAAGATATTCTAGATGAGGAAGAAGCACAGGGGCACAGTTGGGGCTTAGAAGGGGTCGAAGAAAAGGATTTTTCATTAATTATAAGGAAGAATCCAAGAGACCCACTTGAGTGTACTCCCAATCCTAAGGGCCGCTGTCGCTCAGGTACCCCCATCAGGTGGAAGCCAGGAAGTCTCACTTGGGTGGAGCAGTGGCCATTAATCAAACCTAAACTTATGGCACTCCACCTTCTGGAGGAAGAACAAATAACTCTTGAGCCTATACACCCTTCCATGAGCACTTGGAAAACAATGTTCATCATCCAAAAGGCATCAGGGGCCTGACGCATGCTTCAGGACCTACATAAGATAAATGAAAGCATGGAATTGGTGGGCACCCTCTTAATG